TTTCGATGCTCGAAGAAGGTGTTCATAATAGACAATTCGTTGTTTGCACAAAACCGCAACAACTTCATGCTATTATTGAGGTCGGTAGGACCATTTTTGCGAATCACGCTTTTTTACTTTTCAGCGTCTACTCCGACGTGCGCATTAAAATCGCCCATTAGTATGAGGAACTCTGGATTCAGCACATCGGACATAGCACGATGCAGTTCCTCAAGGAAGGTCTCATATTCTGCTTCCAGATTGGGCGCATAGACCTGTACGAAGGTCATCGATTTAGCCTGTTGTAGCTTCAATCGGAGTTTTACTACCCTTCCGGAGAGGCTTACAATCAGTGATTCTATCCGTGAGCTTGGATTCTGCGAGAACACCGCATCTTCCTGTAGGCGAGTTGTGATATCGACGCCCGAGTAGAACAGTTTACATCCATTGAGGTTCAGGGGTCTAGAGCGTGGGCGTTTTGTTGACGAGAGTTGGTACTTCGTGGCCTCATCAGCTAGTTTTTGCTCTGTTCCTCTGAGTGAGGATATGTTTGAATTTGCGACTTTTAGCTCCCACTAGTGGTGTCGTTCTCGTTGAGACTTTTCTGACGTGCTGTAATGGCATCGCCCTGTCTGCCTTCTCTGTTCAGAACGGATAGCGACTCCGTTGCTGACTGGTGTCTTCGTCGTCGTTCCGTCGGTCTTCGTCAGCCGTTTTTGTGCTGCTACGGCCCCGGCTGGCAGAAGGCAAAGAGCAGGTTCTGATCGCCAACTTTTCGCAGTCTGCCTCGTTCCCCCAACAGTCTTCTCGGTCCTTGGTAACCCGGGCGACGATCGAGCCGGTATAATTTCTGATGGTGTCAATATCATGAGTGACAGCTGGCAAAATTTTACGGAGGCTTGCCACGGTCTCCAACCCTCCTCCTTTCTCATCGGGGCCTGTAACCGGCAACAGCGGAGTTTCAGTTGCCAGTTTCATTTAGAATTTATTTCGATTTGTATAGCCTTGATAATTTCGATGGTACTGTCAGTCATGTATTTGTCCACTGGCGATTTTCTAAATAGCGACTCTAAGGTTACCCTTTCCACTATATCAGAGTACATCGGTCGAGTCGCTTGTTTTTCCTTTCCAGGTTGATTAGTGATTATCATTTCGTAGTATGCAAACACGATTCTGCACACTATACTGGTACTTGTCACATGCTCTGTGGTATTTGGTTTTTGAACCACACCTTGCTGCTTGCTGATTTGCAAACGTTGATCAGCATCCCACCGTTAATTTATTAAATAGAATTTCTTCAGAGTTGTTTCGTCATCAAAGTGTAATTGAGATGGACATTCTAGCTGTTAGAAATTTTGTTTTTCATTTCCTTTTTTAAAGAATAATTCGAATCTATTACGAAGTTAGCTGCTGGGGTATAGATCACTCAAAATAAAATTGGTAGCTACACTAATCTAAGAAACTCTGTCGGATTTGTCCTTAACAAATTCGAGAGGTGTTTAGTCAAAATCTAGAATTAGTGTTTAGTTTTATGAACTTCACCGTGTAACGTCTTCTAATTTGTTTAATGCTTACATTGTGAAGTTTCCAGGAAGAGTTGTGGTGGATCTCTGTGTTGGAAAGGGTTTATTTTTGATCATACGAAAGGAAAGTTTATCACCATTTTCCGGCACTTTCATGACTTTTCCATGTTGGTTTATTTCTTTTCATGAAGTTGTTGGTGCAGTGCTGATGGCTATTTCAATGCATTCACCCATGATTGCCTTTTTTAAGGGAGAGTCTACGTCAGTGTGGCAAACACTGATCTAACTTCGGGAGGTAGAAGGGTGGCTGTCCTCAAACTCCCTTTGAATTTGAGACCAATTGGTTTTTTCGAGCTCACTGTTCTACCGCATGAGCAATGTTGGCCTGATGCAGTGAGTGAAAAATTTTTTGTTCAAAGGAATTGGCGAACATTACAGATTGTTCTCAAGCGGAATATCGCTCGGTACCTCCAGAGTTCGAAGCAGGCTTCTTAGTAGTGTGCACCACGCCCTTTATGTCCCTATCGTGCTTCTCACCTTCCATAGCGGCCCAACTAACTCACGGAGAGTCAATGTGTTTGATTTTGCGAATCGTGTTGAACCTCAGTGGTAGCAGAGAAACCACATATTCATTATCCATTTGACTTGTGTTCATTGAGGACACGTCACCCACGCAAGTAGACGGACTGACCATCTTTCTTCCTGAGCGTTTTCTTCTTTATGACTTGTTATTCGACAATCCATTCGAGTCCTAACAGTCGTGCGCTATTGCCGACTAATGCCAAACTTTCGTCCCTCACGCCCAAAGGATTGAATAAAGTTTTGGTCAGTGTGAAGTTTTACCCAGGACAAGTATCATTTAAAAGTTTTGGCTGAACCACTATCAACATTTATTTAAATGGACTCTTCCGACAGTTTCTTCCTGAGTTTACGCAGTTAAGCCTTATACAAAACGTTATTATAAAAGCTATCAAAGTCGATGATAAGTTTTATCGCTGATTCAATAATCGCGTCAAATTTTCCAAAGTTAAATAAAGTTAAAAAACACCTGGAACTGCGATTATGATAGCAAAACATTTCAAGCACAATCTTATGATTCCACTGTATATCTGTCAGTTCTATCGCAGGCTTTTATTTTTGTTTATTTTAGACGTATTCACAATAGAGCAAATGTCTCGTTTCGAGTTACCTACACTCCGAAAAATTCGCTTGCAATTCCTTTACCAACTTTGACGCAATGTCGATATTTATCGGCAAACGGAGAAGAGACGAGCATGATTTCTACAAGTACTTTTCAATAAATTTAAAAATCGCCTGTAGCTGATTTTACTTAGAAACGTGGACAAGGACGATTTTTTATCTACGTCCATTTACAACATTTACGCTTTCTCATGGGTTCTTGAATTCGAAGTCGTACCACGCATATAACCATAGTCTGGTGCTGCCTCCAGGCACACAGACGCATTTGACCTTTCCGCTAATCATAATCGATTGTGGCACTGATAAGCATGACCTAAGAATTCTTGGTGGAAGAACGGTTTACAGATTGTGCCGTCCGAGACAAGGCGAATTGAGGTTACTGTCTAACATGACCGTCGTGTTCAATTCGTCGTTCAGGATAGTCACTGACGTGGATATCATATCCGATAAATTTTCTATCTCTGCAACTACAGGTAAGGTTTTACACCACGTTTACCGCTTATTGTTTATTGTTTGTTAATGCATTTGTTTTCAGCGTTTGGAGCATATTTTTTATGCAAACGAAACGATGAACACGAAATCTTTTTATTCATAAGATGCGATCATGAGTCAGCAACTACTACGACGTTCCTCATTGTGTGCACTATCAACCAACGTTATCCAATTTAAACAGCAGCCCTATTTGTTTCATCCCCTTCCCTGTTTTCGTATATTATACTAAACTAACCCGCATTGACCAAATCATTTTAAAGCACTTGATTCCAGTGCTATCCGTAATCTGTGAGGCGCGCTTCTGACCCTCCGCTAGAACGGCAGGAACTTCGGTCTCTGCGAAATTAGCGTCCTCTCTTATCTTCCTCTAAGTAGTTAATTATTATCGATTTGCAGTATGCCCATTATTAAATTATGCACAATCTCATTCACGTTTACTCATTTGTTCCAATGGTGTACTGACTACCGATCTTTTCTTTGGAGATCATCGATCAGTCACACACGGTGGTCTCGTTCTTTCATGTATTCTTCTGGTTTTGGGTAGGTTGGTTATCTGATCGTACGGCTGGCCAAGCAAACAATTGGGATTCTTGCCCAGAGTTCAATTAATAACTGATTATTACTGTTCCACTTATTGAGCTATCGAGTTTTGCCATTTTCGATAGGTCGTCGTTGCAGGAGGGAAAGTAACGTATGGTTGATACGCCAGGAAACTGTGCAGACACAGTTTATTGATGCACAGCCTTTCATTGTAGATGTGGAAATCTTGTTGATGTTTGTTGACAACCTGATCAGGCTGTAGTTTTTCAGATCTCTGTTTGACTTTTCATAGAATTGAATCACCGATGCGGTTGTCTCTTTTTCAGTAATTGTCAGTGAATTCGACCGTGAAAGCAAAGGTGACAAGATATTGTTCAATGCTTCATCTCGTGATTCCAGTCGTTTCACTCTAATCATGTGTTCTCCTAAGGTCTTTTTTCACATAGACTATTTTGTTCAATGTTGACCTTATCCTTGCAAGATGCGTCGAGGTTACTTTACATCATCAGATTCTTAATGCACTTACAGTACTGCTGATTTCTGCAGAAAAACTTCAGGTTCGATTCTTGGATAGTCAGATTAAATGGGTTAGTTAAATGAAGTATCAATGCTAGCCCTCATCACCAATCGTCCCAGGCATACCCTATTACGAGACATAAGCTGATCTGAGGAAAATTTGCTCATGTTTCTTGCCAGTTTGTGAATACGGTAAGTGAGAGCTTGTCTCATAGTATTTCGAAATTTAGTAATGGCGCTGAGCTCCGAGTCTGTGAGCAGCACTCATCAGTACGGTTGTGACATGACCATCCGAGTGAAAAACATGTCGAAGGTCTACACGCGTGGATGTACGAGCGATATGTATGCCAAGTTCGTGAGTGATGTTGCGTACATACGAGCTATGGCACAGCTGAACATTCCCGCACAGGAGCATTCTAACTATTCAGTTGAAGTAACACAAACAAGGTGAACAAATCTTTCACACCTAGTTCGATTGTGTCTTCTGCGAACGTTCTGCGTAAATGTCCAGTTTTCGTGCTAAAAACACTGCTAACAAACCATATTTGTGCCGGACTTAAACAGTTTTTAAAAACTCTTCTTGATCGACAGTTCTGTGTATATGTTTCAGTCTTTCATCTGAGACACAGGTGTACTTAAACCTGTGATTCTGTGTTTACGGATGAGCTTCGTTTCACTAAGTTGTAGACGACATAAAATTTAATAAAACAGTGAACCTCTTCCATTTGGGAAGAAACTTATCACACTGTCATTCTTAGAGCGACAGTAAATTTTCCATATCTGCAGGGTAATTTGCCGTGTCTATTGAAACAGGGTGGTGCTTAAGTATTTAATTCAATTGAATACGTACTTTTAGTGTTGGTGTGACCAGTCATTGTTTTTTGACGCAAAATGCAAAATACAGGCAGTGCGATCGAATCAATCCTCATGATTGCCTTTTAGAAGGAAGAAAAGTGTCTCAAATTAAATGACATCGATTTAAAATTTTTGTGGCAGTTATATACCAAGAACAGAAATGCAGCCTGGGATTTCGTCGTTGCATACTATCTCGTATTTCGGTGTTGCGCACTCTGAAGAGCAGCAGGTATTGGAGGTGTAATTATTTTAAAGTTTTATATACATTTCAAGCAGAAAGTGGCATGTCTCCATGAAATGGACTTTCGAAAAGACACATCGATTGGTTGTGTCCTACCAGAGGCACCCAACCGTTTATGAATTTTCCCCATATTCTTTAATTAAGGATGCGTTTGCAATGAGTTTTGTACCTCCATTAGTTCGAGCTTTTAATTCTAGGAAATTGGACCCTGACATCACAAATCTGAGTTCTCGATCTTTGACCTTGGTAGCTCACATGTCAATAAAAACAAGAAGCTACAAATTCACATAACATCCGTTACCTCTCAAGTATATTTTAAAGAGTTTAACTCATGAAAAGACGCTTCATATCTCCACATCAGCTTGTGATGCATGAAAGTTACTCCTTGATTGGAGATTAAATTTCAGTCCGACAAATGAACCGCATTATTTTGTATTAAGAAGCACCTCCTGCGATTAAGAAAATATTTAGTTGGATTTTCTTCCGCTGCTTTTCCTCGTTAACGAACAGTAAAACAGAATCCGTACTTGGTTCTCACACATGTTCATATGATGAGTGTAAGTAAGATGAACAAGATGTTAAGATAATTGATAAGTCCGCAAATTTCCAGTTTCCTATCTGTACCGACTCCAAAAATTTATTTCAGTTGCACTAAATTTCGTAAATGAACGTTTAAAAATATATTCGTGTGGTTTCTTTGTTATCCCATGTACTTTACACCAACTAGTATATCTTCTTTTCTAGACGAATCAATGTTCAGGCAGATATTATGTTCAGAGTTCTTTATTCTGACAGGGTTGAAGTCAAAAACCCCGCTTTCGCGTTCATTGAATGTCGACTTCTGCATGAACAGGAACAAGACCCGCAGTTCATTTCACAAAGTGAATAGTTTAACGTATTTACACCTCTCACGTATTCATAATATGTTATATTTAAGGTCGTTGGATGAAGTCCACAGTGCACATGAAGCCTAATTCGACGCATAACTTTGGTTATCTGTTCCATGCAAGCAAATACGATCAATATATTATTGTGTTTATTTCGCCACGAGACACAGTTACTCATTTACAGTTCTTGTTGGTGAAAGTTGGTTGTAATAATACTGGCCAAGAACTCGTCGTGTACGGATCTAAGAAGAAATACAATTTGTGCAGACTGGGTAAAGTCGGAAGAAGACTAGTCGCTAGAATGGCATATGCGTTCAATTCGACGTTCGTAATAGCGGCTACACTGACAAAATGGAGCGATGGTTTTCAGGCGTCTGTTACTACAAGTAAGAAATTTCTCTATCGCGTGTTTTTCACCAAACGCATATGTTTTTTCAGAGCGTACAGTAGAACCGTCTGTCACATACGACGAATAGCGGACTAATAGCTAAAGCTTTCAGGTATCACGTTCAACACACGCTGAACCTCTGACGTCTGGCGTTAAGAAATGTCTAGGACTTTAAATCAATCCACCCCATTCAAGCATCGTATTATGGATGGAACTCAGAATCTTTGCAAGAGAGTCAGGTTTAGCATGATTCAAATTAATTTTACTCCGACATATCCACAGTGAGATAACGTTCGAGAAAGCGGTTGCTTT